GTCTCTTATCTTATTCGACAAAATCTGATCGTGTAAAAAGGGCATTCGATTCGACAAATCTGAAGCAAAACTAGATTCGACATAATCGAATTCGACAAAATCTGATCGTGTAAGAGCGGCTTAGCATCTGTGAAAATTCATTGCATTCTATAAGAATGTGTAGTTTTCAACACTTCGTCATCATTTCGAGCAAAGGTCAGTATAAGATTTGTCTTTTTTTATTTGAATATTCAACTCACAGAATTACAAACAGTTACTTTCCTGGACTTTTGTGGATTCAAAGTACTAAAAACCTGTATACACAAAGTATGCATCGATGGTTCTGACTTTTATAGTTTATGGCTTATCAACAATCAGCTTGATGGTGGGTGGCATATTTTAGCACCCTTGCAATTCTGATTAAAACTAGTGCTGTTAAAGGAGTTTGGGGTGTGTTATAGAGCTAAACATGTTATGTATGACAATTATACTACCGAGGCTTCAGTAGTAACGTGAAATAAAATATCTTAGAATATAAATCTAAATAGAAAAATCCTTTCTTGCATTTTAAGTTTGGCCTTTATCAAAATCTATTGATTTAAATAAAAATTGTGAAGCGCGATCTAAAATATGAACGAGATCCTACTGTATTCAATACAACTGAAACAAGTTGATCTTCCCACGCCAATTTAAGCACTTAAAAGCAATATCAATTTTTCATAAAGAATCCTTACAGCATTGGCCACACCCTCGAATCAAGGGCTATCCAAGCAAAATATGTTTTTCTGGAAAGGTTTGAATGGGAGATTCCAATAACATTTGCCTTGATTGATCTTAATCTGCCCGATATGTTCAGAACAATCAAGCACGCCAAATGACTTGCACGTCCTATAGGAACCAGACACCTACCTATGGCTGCAAAAACTTTTCCTGTTTGTAACAATTGATAAAACTTCATTGGGTTTGCTCAAAGTATTATGACATGCCCTTATTCTCAGAAGTACAGGCATGTTTCGTAAATTTGGACCAAAAGATAATGTTAAATGCAATGGGTTTTTATATATCAAAGAAAAGAATAAATAATAAAGTGCTATAAAAATATATAAAGAGCTTAAAGAGAAGACGTGTGAATAGCCAACATTGAAGAGGTAATAGAGGCAAATCGTCTGTAACAGGTCATCTTAAATATCATCTGTAAATTCCTTTAGTAACGGTGGTTTAAGAAATACTACTTCTTTGCGATAAGTGATGAGATCGCTTTTGCATTTTCTTAAAATTATTCTAACTTTTCTCCAGTAAAAAGAAGCTCAATTGAGTGCAAATATCATAATGAAATCTGTTTCAGAATTCGTTGTCTAAGTCAACCCTTTAGCTTTTGAGTTCTTCCAGTTATGTCCTTAATCATATTTTTATTTATAAAAACCACTTCAAATTGCTTTATACATTCTTTCGTGGAAGCATGTTTTGAAATAAACCCATGAAATTGATGCCTCTAAATAGTGCCATCGTTATACTATTTTTCTTAGTCTCGCCAAATTGTTGCCAGGTAAACTTAGTTAGGAGAGAGAGTTAAGAAGCACCTGCCCTCAAAATAAGCGGCTAGTTTTTCTCTGACTCAATTGAAAGAAAGAAGGATTCATTCATTTAAACTGACGACGCTCCACAAGCATCAACACTGAGAACTATTCTGTAAACCAACATCCCAACTGAGAAAGCTTTATACTTTAGATATACGAAAAAAATTAAACAGTTTTTCAAATAGTAAAGCACAGGAGCAAAATCTTTAGATATATCTTTCAAGATATTGGAAGTTTAAAAATACAATAATTTGGAGAAACAATCGTAATAGGTGAGGTGAAAGGGGGAATTTTTTTGCAAATGGTTGGCCCATTAGGTCGCGGATCTTGAGCCAAAGTCTCTGAAAGACACAGGAACATCAGGTCAAAATTACTGATTCAAATTCAAAATTACAGAGCTTGTGGGTTGAAGTTTCAAGAATATGAAGAAAAAATCCTTTTTACAGCCAATGTCGTAGAAATATTCTTAAATTTCTATGCATCTTGAGGTAAGCAAAACTGCTATTTCGACAGCAGGTGTCTTTTCATGTAAAACCATCAAAATAGTTTTCAAAGATAAATTAAAAATAGACCTGCACAAAAAGGAAGGCGGAATAAAATTGCAGGAGGAATCAAAAGAGAAACTAGAAAATTGGATAAAGAAGCCATCAGCATTTCGTCTAAGTCGACCCCCTATTCACTGACTCCTAAAAGTCTACAATACCCTAAACATGTACTATCACAGCTGAATATATAATTGCTTTAATTTATTGCATCATGTTATAATGTTTATGATTCTTTAGGATGATAGATAAAATTAATCGTCAGAGGCTTCATACATTGTGTTCTAAATGAACTGTCTTTTTTGTATCGGAAAAATCTTATAAAATAACCTGCTGTATTCTTTCAATAGAAAAGCAGATACTGGATTATCTCGTTTGTTAAAGGCAGTTGCGTTGATTAGAAAAGATAAATACAATCGGATTTCTGAAAACAGAATGACTCATTTTGCCCTCATATTTCTATTGAAATTAATTAACAGAGTAAAGAAGAAAAGAAATACCCGTAGGAATTAATTAAAGAGTCAGATCCTGCAAACATAAGAGCTTTGTTGTAAATCTGTCAAATTTCCATCTTAAGTTTAAATAAATGAATGGGCAGAGAGAAAATTGAATTCAGCAATGTATTACATACAATCAATGAATTATCAGGTTCAAGAAAGATTCGCAGTATGACGTATAGTTATATAGAAGTTTTTGATGTGGAATGGAAGTAAAGATCAACTGCATTCTCTATTTTCTTTGGATTTACTGATAGCATTCACAGTAGGATAGAAAGAAAAAACACCCTACCACAAAATGTCCGTTTGCTTAGGGAAAATTCTTGAATAAACTTTCATCTTTTAGGAGTATATTTAGCCAGTGTTCTTTGGACTGCATAAAATTATATTGTTTAAGCAAGTTGTTTCTCTGCTTGGCCGGCCCTGCACATTCATAAATCGATTCAGGTTTACAATTGCTTGTATAATAAATATTCCTTTAGGTTTTTTAGCTAGACTGCTGAAAAACAACTTCCTAAAGTGAAAATTCCTATTTCTTGTCTTAAGGAAACGGTCAAATGTTCGTAGATACAATCTTACGAAAAGCAGGTAATAAGGGGCTAGAAAACATGACAGTTCAGCGAATCATGAAGTAACAAAAGTCATGACAACAATAGAAACTAAAGTATTTGTACTTGTAACAATAGAAGCCTCGTGGTTCCTATCCCTCAGTTCCAACGCCTAGTGACTCTCGGTAGTCACAGACAGAAATTTTGATACTGTCAAGGACTCGAACCGAAGACCCTTATTTCTGTAGCCCACGACCCTAAAAACCGAGAAATACTCATACCTAAATAAGGTTAAGTGCAACCTCCCAACCCATACCCTGCTTTCATCTTACTTTAAGGAAGGTTTTCAGAACTACAGATTGCTTGCAAGAGGTAAGGAAAACACCTTTCTGAGCTTTGTAGGGGAGATTTTCTAGAGTTTAGGTCCCTGATTAACGGAAGGTATTTACAAGCTTCGTACCATATATACCAACCCAACTTACGGTATCATTTTGTAGCTAGTAGAAAGATTTACCACCATGTCTTGACCAGACAACATTTTTAACATTCTGTTTAACGTATGATTTATGACTATATAATGTTGAAAAACCATTTAAGTATATGACTGCAATAACCTTTCTGGGTAAAACGTTTACTCTCGGTCACTATTCACAGTCTAGTCGCTTGTAAAAATTAGTAGATTAGGTCGACAAAAATCAATACTATGAGCAGCAGCATCGTGAAAGTGAAACACTAAATTTCCGAACCTTAACCTGTATCTTAAGAAAAGCAAAGAAGTTTGAAATATCAATCAAACGAGGTCACAAATTAAATTATTGTATAACTGGAAGAAGCAAGTTTCTTTAATATGCATTTTTTCTGAATATTCATGCTCCAAGTGCTGCCACAAAAATCCTCATGAAAATCAGATCAGATATAGGTTTAGTTTGGACAATAAACAGTTTTAGATGCAAAGCAGAAAATAGAAAACTCTTAGGCCATTGATGGTATGACCAGAACAGTTTCTTACAACTTCGATTATCGTAACGTTTTCGATAATCACAATACAAAAACAGTGGATTAAAGTAATATTTGATTAAAATATCATTTCAGTTTTTTTCTAAATCTATCCTGCCAATCTTCTTCAAAGTAGAATTAGCCAGGCCTAAAAACTTGCTTTTTGTAATCCTAGTTCATTATAGCCCTCATTAAAAATTAAACACAGCATAAGCATGCTGTTTTGCCCCCAAACTGAGTGTAAATTTCAACCTTAATGACAATATTCTACAAACTGATATTAGGACACATCACTATTACAAGGATGCGAATTCCGGCTAAATCTTGCCTAACAAGTGATAGTTATTAAAATAACCAATTAAGGTACTCATCGCTAGTGGCTCATTTGCTAGTGGCTCATCGCTATTGGCCAAACAAATGTATTTCGAGCGCCACGAAGCATTAAGTTAAGCCTAATCTGGTCAAAAACACTTTTGAGCGCGCGCTCGAAGCGCTCAAACAAAGCGCGTACATTGGGAATTATCACAGTCGCTGCGATCACTTTCATGTTCGCTCGCACGCGTTTGAGAGTAGGTCTCGTTCTTACTCCCAGGCTCCCATGCAAGAGCTCAGCCAATGAAATCTAATGATTGAGCGCGCGCTCATAAATGTCTCTGACGAGATTAGGGGAATTTTAGAATTGCAAACACGGCGAGCCTAAGGTACAGCAACAATAGTGGAAAGTGCGACTAACGGCGGCTGGAAGGATAATTGTTTTGGAGACGCTATGCAATAAAAAATAAAACGCAAATATCCACAGACTTCGGAAGAGATCCAAATATCAACAGACAAATATCTCTAAATTTAAAAAGTAAGGCCTACCTTATTGAAGTAAAACTGTTGCAGACAACCAACAAATCCTTGTTTACTTTTTGAACCGATGACTGTGATTGGGTTAAAATGCCCGCCAAAGTAAGCAAAGTCGCTTGAAAGGCAGTTTGAGTCTACGCGTTCATATGGGCTTGAAACTGTTTTTTCGAATCTGAAATGACATAATATGCAATTAATAATGTGAAAAAATCAATTATAAATTTTTAACGCTGCCTAAACAGAATTATTGGCATGGAAGTCTTAATCAATTAAAGTCTTTAATTGTTGCATGTTTTTAGATGCTGCATGGGAGTTGAAAAAAGAATTGCGCTAGGGTTGCATTGCTGTTATGATATGCAATGAAGTGGCAATTTATGAAATGGGATCACATGATAAGATATACATTAATTATTTTTCTACTAATCACTTCATTGTTCAACAAATCGTCTTAGAATACTCTCCGTCTCGTCATTTCCACGTTAAAGAAGCACGAGAGGAATTCGGAGAACGCTAACAGGTGGACACAAGGCATGTCCGTTTTCGAACTGGCTTTCCTTCTGGACAGCTTTTCAACTATTCCTGTGTTTTGAGATCCGTGACAACAGCCAAGCCTTCTTGTTTTCCTATTGGCTTACTTCGCCTTATGTCTATGCGCAAATTAGTCATCTTCTGTCAACATCCAGGACAAAAAGCTTAAAACACTCCTCTCTTTAAAACAAGATACGAGTGACATGGTTTTAATTGTTTTATTTAGGATTACAATTATGCTTGACAATTCTTATGCGTTTTACTTAACAGATTAAATTTTTCAAATCGCATATCAAAATTTGGCCACTAAAGGCAATCTTTCGATTAATTGCCTTGAACCAAATATCCTCCACTGGACAAAAATGAACTTGAAAGCTAAATCAGTTTCTTATCTCTATGATTATTTTTGCAAACATACATCTAGATATACATTCTTTTATATGCAGTCATATCAGCACAGTCTGTTCTGTTATATGCAATAGTATCATTACCATGCAAATAGTTCAGTACCGTATGTTTTGCTATCTACAGTAGAATATAATACCTTACGTTATAAGTTCCGTAACCTAAAATAGTATCAGCACAATCTTTGTTATCTATAAGAGTATCAGTACCGTATGTCCTGTAACCTACAAGAGTATCAGCACAATCTTTGTTATCTATAAGAGTATCAGTACCGTATGTCCTGTAACCTACAAGAGTATCAGCACAATCTTTTGTTATCTACATTAGTATCAGTACCGTATGTCCTGTTATCTACAATATAATATAGTACCATACATTATAAGTCCTGTAACCTACAATAGTATCAGCACAATCTTTTGTTATCTACAAGAGTATCAGTACCGTATGTCCTGTTATCTACAATAGTATCAACACAATACGTTCTGTTATCAATTATTGTATTAGTACCTTGTTCTGAGCAGTGGAGAATCTAGCCTTAAAAATCTGGGTGGGGGCTAACCGGGGGACAGCTTTCAGTTATACGATGTCAATGCTAGCTATTTATTTCGAGCTAGTAGAATTAAGATAAAATAGTTCCTAATCTTATCTTGGTAGAATGTAAGGCAGTGGCATGGTGGCTCAAAATTGGCCTAAGCCCATTGAAGATGCTAAAATAATGTTCGCATATTTTATCATTATGCCAAATATTTTTTTGGTAGTGACGTAACAAAGGTAGCTGCGTCCCCAAGAAAAAAAAATAAGAAACATTTTTGCTTGAGGCCCTAAAGGTTGGGGATCCTTTTTTCTTCAACTAAAGGTAACTTTAGTCCGTTCATCCACTGAGCTTTGTCTGTTCAACAATTATACATGAATATCAATAGAAGAACTATACTTTTGAAAAGAAAAGGGTTAAATAGCTTAGTAATGTTGATTGGTAAAATTTTCCATAGCATTTACGTCTTATATCCAACCTCCGTGAAATCATGCAAATCATTCTGTTACATAGAATTTTAAATCATATAACTTTGATTTAGTCAAAAAAACGATTAAACAGCTATGGAAGAGGCCATTAAACTTTTAATAGTAACTTTTGTAAAATTTGAGGGCCAAGAAAGGGGCAAAGAAAATTTCTGGCGAGGGGGCTATGACCCCCTGTAGAACGCCACTGGTTCTGAGAAGCATAGTGTGCAATTCCATTCATGTATACGAAAAAAGAACAGACGGGGTAGAATTTTTTCCTCTTTATTTTAAGTTTCGAATCGCCACACAATCTTAATCGCAATGAAATCCATATCTCAGTTGGTAATTACATATTGTTAGAATTGGTTTGAAGAGCAACAGCTGCAAGATCTCTCCTAGGAGCACGTGCATTGTTTTATATTATTGTGAAAATGACTAGCGATCACAGTTCTCAATAAAAAAAGCCACGGATAGAGAGCATGATCTACATGAATAGAATTGTGTTTAATACTGAGTTGGCAGGCAAAACTTTTAATTTTTTAAAGCAGATATTGAAACACGTGTGAAGAGAAAACTTTTGTTAATGAGAAATTAAATTTTACCTCGACTTGTTTCTGTGGTCGACCATCAAAGTGAAAACCCCACCATTTTGAACAACCTTGATATCATGCCACATTCCATCATTCAGTGGTCGATGACTTTCTATTTCAACTTTTCCTAACAAAACCAAACAATTCAGCATAAAAAAACAGGCACTAAATATATATTTATATATATATAGATGATCAGTAAAAAAACAACTTGATTAACGTTTTGCAATATGCTTCTTCAGAAAATTTGAATTCTCAAGAAAAAAATTCTGAAGAAGCATATTGCGAAACGTTAATCAAGTTGTTTTTTTACTGATCATCTATTTAAATTTTTAAAAAACATTACAGTCTAGAGCTTTTGAATACATGAATCGCACGAGAAAATACCTTCCTTGATTTAATCATTGTAAATAAGCTTTGGATAAAATCGTAAATCCTTCACTTTTTCTTTTAAATAAGGTAGAAATAATTAGAAGAAGAAATAGGACTCTTCTGCAAAGTTTATTACTTCTTTATTGGAGGGTAAGAATCTACGTCCTTCAGTCAGGTTCCATAATTTCCGTCACCAATAACATTAGGGAGATACTTGCGAATAAAAGAGAATGTAAACTTCTTAACAAAAGATGATAGAATGAATTTAGTGATCATATAGTGAGAACCACGTCTTGGCTACAAAGAAAGAAAACTAGTCTTTAAAGCGAATCCCCAACATAAAGCGAATTCCAAACATTCAAAGTCCATCTCTCGTTTTGTATTCATAATAATCTTATAATCAATGAGTTTCCTAAATCTACAGGAAAATATAGGACAAAATTTCAAAATTTTAAAAATAATGGGACCTAAAAGCCCAGTAGTGAACATGAAACTACAAAGCGTCTTCAAATTAAACATCTGTCTCTGAAAGAATCACAGTTGCAACATTAATTACAAGTCGAAAAAGATTTGACTATTGAGTCCATCCAATTAAGGTTGTACGTAATCAGAGAACAAATCATAAAGGATTAGATGGGTATCGATGAAGAAGAAAAAGTTGCACATAAATGTCCAGAGGCGATTAGATTATTATTAGCTGTACTGAAAAATGCTTAAATTTCCTGAAAAAGAGATCAATTTCCAAGCCTTTCAAAGATATATTTAATAACCTAATGGTGGCAGATCCCCCTCCCTCCCCTAATGCAACATGATTCTTGAAATATATATCTCAATTTCCACAACTGCATTTGGATTGAGAATGTTGGTAATATCCCGGATGATCAACAGTTGGCCACAATAGCGCAACAATAGCGCAACAAATACCGCAACAAGACGCAGTAGACGAAAACTTTGTCCATCACAATGATGAAACTCTTTGAAAATGTGACAAAAACCTTAAAAGTGAATCTATTTTAAGCTTTATTATGGGGTAGGGAAATTGTGGTTGAAAATATCGACTCCCCATTTGGATGAATGATGACTCCACTATTGATGAATTTTTGATATTCTCCTACTGGGGGTTTTAGAAGGCAAAAACATACAACGGATGAAACAAATGGGTAAGAAACCACTTGATAAGAGACAAATGTAAACAACTTGCCTCCTCCAACATTGGTTTCCATACGAACACGACCCTCGTAGATCTCAAGAGTAAGGTAGTCACTTGCTTTTCCCAAGGTAAAAAGAATTCCATGTCTCTCCAAAGTCTTAAATCTCAAGTACAGTTTATTTGATCGCAGAGATCGCATAGAGTTCACCTTTCTTGACATAAAGTCCATCTTTGCTCGCAGCGATATAACTTGGGACACTAGAAAGGCAAAGAACTAAACATTACCCATTACATCAGACACCTAAAGTTGGAGAGTTAAAACTGATTCAAGGCTGAAAATTCTTCAAAAGAATCCTGTTTAGGCAAAAAAGGAAGAGCTCTGCAATACCTACGAGCTATCGATTTATGCTACTTAGCTTTATTTAAAACGAGACACAGAAAAAAGATTTACTATAGGCACTAAGAGGAAAAGACTGAGAGTTCTATTAAGAACATACATTTCTATTTTGCTAGCAAACCTTTTAGGGAGTGAAATTATTTTTGTAGAACAAGGTTCAACGAAAATCCATGCAGATAATTAAGAAAGATCTTGTTGCTGCTACAGTGGATGTCGCCTTGATTGAAGCTTGTCAAAATTATTCGTAGGGTAGAACTTAATACTAATACTGATGCTATGGTATTGATTATAACCTGTCACACTGTAATTTATATTGGGATCAAAAAATGGTTTAAGTATTATGGGAAATGAGTAATATTTTATGGTATCTAAAAAATATGAATACTGTAAGTTATACTAATTTTCATTACAGGTAATTTAAAAGATTTATCACAATAGAGAGTATCAAAGATGTTTAGTTCAATCGATGGTATGACTAAAGCTGTTCACCTTGTTCACATCTAGTGCCGGAATAACCAGTACCAAAACAATCGCACGTGTAGCTTGTGAATTGGTTCACGCAGGTCCCGCGGTTACACCCAGGATTATCAACTTTCGCGCAGAAGTCTGCACAGCCATTGATAACATTCGAGCCTTGGAATACTGGAGCATGGATTGTAAGTTCATTATAGCCTTCACCGTACTTCAAGTCTTTGATGCAACCGATAAACCTGAAATTAAAAGGTGGCAAGATAGAATGAAGGTGTATGCTAGAGTTCGAAGGCAGAAGTCTTCATAAGATATCAATCGCTTAAACAGCATCGAAAAAAAGACATTTATTTAAAGATGGCCACATAAAAAAAACATCAATGTCAATCTTTCTGTTACAAATTTACAGAATGATTGTAGAAACACGATTAAGTGACCATTTAACCAAAGAATAAGGTTTAGGTTACAGATACATTGCACCATCCTCGCGATTATTAAATGATACTAGGTGTTACCAGAAACAAAGTCGATTGTAAATCCATTACGTCGTTCAGTAAAAAGAAGAAAAGACGTTACAGTCTTTGAAAAAAGAAAAGAAATTTTTCTCTGTTTCCCTATATGCCATCGTCCATACGATGCTAGATAAAATATGCACAACTCTTGCCGTGACGTTGCCCTTCATCCAGCTTTGTCCCATATCAGTTCTTTAGCTAACACACAACAACTTCCAGTTTTATTACATGCGTCCCATATGCACAATTTCTGGTCGTAACATTACCCGTGTTCAATGAATAACACAAATGAGCTCCAACTTGATCTTATAGTGTCCCAAATCACTCTTTAACTAGGTCAACATTCACCAGACACTATCATGGATCAATTCTGCATCAATCCGGCATCTACGCCTCACTCGTTCATCTATACCTCACTAATTAAACAGTGATTCATGCGTCCCATAACACTCAATCACTCGTCTCACGTTTACCAGACACTGTCCCGATCGACCCTGCATCAATCCTCCATCAATCCTGCATCTGCCCCTGAGCCATACAGCTATCCCTCACTCGTTCAATCCATGCATCCTATATCACTCCTTCACCCGTCCCACGTTCACCAGACACTGTCCCGATAGACCATGCATCAACCCTGCATCAATCACACATTAATCCTGCATCAATCACGCATCTGTCCCTGACCCATACAGCTATACCTCACTAATTAAACAGTGATCCATGCGTCCCACATCATTCTTTCACTCGTCCCACATTCACCAGACACTATCCCGATCGACCCTGCATCAATCCTGCATCGACCCTGCATCAATCCTGCATCAATCGCGCATCAATCCTGAATCAATCACGCATCTACCCCTGACCCATACAGCTATAACTCACTCGTTCATAAGTGATCCATGCGTCCCATATCACTCCTTCACTCGTTCCATGTTCACCAGATACTGTCCCGATCAACCCTGCACCAATTCTGCCTCACTCCCGCATCAACTCTCCATCAATCCCGCATCTACCCCTCACTTATAGAGCTATAACTCACTAACTCAATAGTGATCCATGCGTCCCACATCACTACTTCAATCGTTCCATGTTCACCAGATACCGAAGCTGTAACCCGTCCTACTCTAAGCCCAAACACGTACAGCAAATCCTCCTTACATCAAAGCACAAGAATCAGCTATCCAATTTACGTTCCACACCCGTGCATTCTTATTCTTTACCTGTAGACCCAGCCGTCTGATATTTACCCCCATTAAAATTACTGTTAGAATGAAGAAAACATACTCTTCCCCAGATTCGGCGTCATCAGTACATCCGACATACAGATCAGACTTCAAGTCGAGCAACTCTTTCCAGTGCAATTTCGTCATCACACGCTGTGTTCCGTCAAGTTCGAACAACGTGGATCTGTGATTCCTTATCACAGTGACATTGTGCCAATTCAAGTCGTTAAGATCAGTGCCAAAGTCCTCTGCAATGTGCTCCAGATTCGAATGCGACACGGCAAATGACAGCCTGCCATTCTCAAGTGCCAGTCGCAGGTGAACATCTTTTGAATCGCCAGCGCCACGGATGAAGAAGAGGATACCGTCCTTTTTGGCTGTCTTGAACTGGAAATTCAAAGCCGCTTTTTCTTTCGCATACCAATTAGAATACCGCACCATTGATTCTTTAGGGTTCTTTCCTCCAAGAAAAGTAAGTTTTTCCGAATGCACAAGTGCAATTAACAAGTGCAGTATGATGGGGATTTTCACAAACATTATATCTTTTGTTTCTATGTCCCGTTAGTTCCAAGTAATTCCAAGATTATATGCAGTGCTTGAGCTCTACCAACCAGATCTGATAGACCTAAAAATAAGAGGTTCCATAACAAATTATAAAAACATGACTAAGATTGCAGACGGACGGAAGACAGAAACAAAACATAAGCAGGTATACAGGATAATCTATTTCTACCTCGAATTAAGTTTTTAAAGTGACACTTTTTATATCAAATTAGGTATCATAAATCGTTCGACACAGTTTAAATGACAGCAGACAAAGAAATATACAATCGGCAAATTTTTGAGAAAATTGGAAAAGTTGAACGAGTAAGTTTTTTGAAACAGCTTTTAAACAAAGTGCCAGAACTGAAATTTGGCGTACAATCTTATAAACGGTTGCTTGTCATAGAAATTGAAAAGTTGAGAAAAAGAGGAGTTTGAAAAATTACTGGAACTTTAAAGGGATCGCAAAAGATGTGCTACAAGGGTGCTAGAAGAGTCATTAAGGGACACATTTACATATTTTGTCAGATCAAAATCTAAATTCTTTCAAAGAACGACTCGAGAGATCGTAACATAGCAAGTGGTTTATTAAATAATTTTGGAGCTGACAAAATATGAAAAGAGGGTGAAATGATGCCAAGGAATTGAAAAGTCAAAAGAATTAAAAAGCATCTAATGTAGGTACAAGCTAGTTAAGTTGTTGCAGAGAATTCTCAAAGCAGCATGCAATACAAAAAGAAATGACATATACTTAAATGATTGATCTTGTTGGAATCCTAGAAGAAGTTCTAAGTAAATATTTCAGAGATAAAAACTATCGATATGATAAGAATGCAACGGCAGTTCGATCAGAATGGCAGCAAAAGGAAGTCAAACAGAGATTGACAAACTTTGTTGTCATATCGACTTTTAAGGGCAGGTGTGGCTTAAAAATTGACATAATTATCAGTCACCGTGTTTATCTCGAAAACTTTATCATAATTAACCAAAATGCCTGTTTTTCTTCTCAATCTCTTTTGAATAAACATTAAAATCTAAAAAGGTGTATGTTTCATACCAGCGGTCGAAAACCAATGTCGAAATTATCACCTAATGCTGCTTGCTAACAAGGGCAATACCATACCACAGAAACTCTGCCATGAAAATTGTTTCCCACAAGCAATGGAAGGAATGCTTGAATCAGAGTTTTAGCGAATATTCCTTTTCAAGATAATCTTATTACAGAACAGTTTTCCAAATACACCTGCACTATAGGCCGGCTTAACATGCACAAGGAAAGCAGATTATCGGGATTTTTTTAAATAAGGTCCGTTTTGAAGTTGGCTTACGTCTTTCTTCAACTGTCCACAGTTGTTTTATTAACTTGACAAATTGCAATACAAGACCGGGGGTTTTTGGAAAGACGGCTTCGAAAAACTGTTATTTGCCCGATTTGGGACAATTTTGATTGAAAGGTAAAGTTTTCTAAACAAACAGACTCTGAACAAAGTTTTCATGTTATAAAGCTTCTTCCTAAAATTGATAGGACGTGAAGATGTTTGGACTAATTCGTGAATATCCAAAGAGATATGTCTCTATGTTATCTTTATAAGATATAAAAATTAGAAATTATAATTAATTACAATCTGGCTTAAGCTTTGGGAAGTCGAAGTAGCGTTTTTCATATTAATAATGTTTAGAAAATGTTATGGTTAGAAGCTACCTTTTTGATACCTTTCGATACCCATACTTGTAATAGATACCTTTTTGAATTATTGAATAATTTTTTAAAGAGAAAAGGCAAAATCGTATTTGATTATTTCTCATGGCCAATAACTGCATATTTCTATTGAATTAAAACGAGCGAAAGAAGAGACTTGAGAGAGGATTTTCCTTTATGTTGTATTTTGGACATGGGATATAAAAAGAAGAAACGGGTTAAAAGAAATAGAAACAAAATGAAAAAAGATTTTCATACCTTTTTAAACAAACTTTTCATGTGCAACCTGAAATTAAGAATACCAAAGTAAATTAGTTTCATTGATACGAGAGTTTCAAGAAGATATTTGAACTTCCTGTTTTGTAATTTACTGAGAAGCAAAAGGGAGTTAGAGTGAGTTTATTTTCTAAAAATACAAAGTTTTTTTCGAGCTGATGTGAAGAACAGATGTATAAATGATGGTGCTGAACACGGAATCTTAACTTCATTGATTTTGAAGAATAAGCTGTAATCTTGATTTGCTAAAACATCTCAATAGGCCAGTCCCGTAGACAGCTAAACTGGATTTTGGGGGGGGGGGCATGGATAAAAATACAGCTTTTTTTAAACCTGCCTTACAAAAAACTGTCAGATTAAGCTGCGCTTATAAGATCTTCAAACACAATTTTCGTAAATCATTGGGGGCATTGCTAATAATTTTGATTCAGAAAATATCTGATGTCGCATTTAACCACCGTCGCATAACGAGGTTGACTAGAGTAATTTAGTTGCAGTTGATGTTGGAAATTACAAATTTACGGTGACAAATTAAAAACATGATAAAATATCCATTAAAAGGCAAGCTTTAAAAATACAACTGATGAAAAAGTGAACATCTAAACTAGGAAAGAACTTTTTTGGTTGCACGTTTGACTAAAATTTTAATACAACGTCTTGAGTTAAATCAAAATGTAGTATGACATTGCCTATTGCTCAACACAGCAGCTATATCGAATTCCTGTAAAGTTAAAGACAACTAGTGATATAAAAACACGATGGTCAGGTGTATCGGTTTTACTATTGACTGACCGCAAGCACAAAGTCATTTATATAGATAGAGGTCATAGATAGAGACAGAGAAACTAATTACGGGAAATGTAGGAGTGTCATAGCACCCCAGTTGTATGACCCAAGGCAACAGATGCAAGACCAATTATCAGAATAAGAATTGGTCCGGAATCCAGCAAAAGCTAACATTTTCTTCACAACTAACATTTAGAAATATAAATCTATTTTATTCATATATTTCATCATTCTGCTCATTATTCTATTCATGATGTCACAAGCCGTAAACAACCGCCATTCACGCCCTGTTTGGAGAGACTTAAATTGTAAATTTCGGAACTGCAATGGTTACTGTATTGAATTACAATAATCTATTTCAATTTTTAAAGGACATTGCAGTTGTACGATGTCAAACAAATAAAGAAACTGAATAAATTATAATTAGCCACTAGTGATAAATAACTTTCCTTTCTCTTACCAAATTAAGTCAATGAAGAACCTTAGAGTGCGGTTTGTTGCTAATAATTCACATTTAATTAAAAAATTCACAATTTGATTTTGGAAAGTCGTTTTACGTTGTCGTATGACTGACAAATCTACACTTCTATTTCCTCGGCTAATTATGCCCCACAGAAGACCCTACACCCCTAAAAAATTCTAAATTTACGGAACTGCTCAGGGAGACTTTTTAAATTGAAGCAGTCAAAATGTTATTGACTAGTGTATTGAATCAGAATTCTTTTCATCTTTAAAAATGACATAGCAGACATGTCGCATCATTCTCTTGAAGAAGAGTGCTAGCAACAATTAGTCTTTTTCCTCATAATATCTTTCACAATCATCGAAGAAATTTAGCTTTGCAAAATCACATCCAAATCAAAATTCGGACTCTTTTTAACCATCTACTACAATTTGGATGAAGCGCCAAAATGCGTTTCGATTGAAATGATGAAAGCAAATGACATACAGCCTCTCTTTACAGTAATCTAAAAAAAGGCAAAGTTTTTCTCTTATTCATTCATCACGCTTTTAGTTTCTTTATGACGTCAGTCGTGTCAATTCAAGTTCTCAGACGGTTATGTAGAGCACTGAAATTTGCATTGAAAACTTGCAAATGAATAAAGAATGCGAGGAAACATATTCACGGAAAGCACACAGCACCAACAAAGAACCGACTCATCACCTTGCTTCCGAGTATTTTTAAGGACACTGAGAAGCTGTGCTTATTGAGCAGTGTCCGGGTCCTTCCTCTTGATTCAACCACACCTTTTAATTTCCAAGCCTGAGATCGCAGAGAGCCTGCTTCTCCCCTGATTCCAAGTGACAGTTAATTCATCTCAATGACTTAAATCATTTATCATTTATCCGACAAATAATGACCGTTTCCTAACCTTTGAAAACATAAAAATCTTTCAGCGTTATGATTCTGATGGTCTGGGCAGGGCATGTTTTATAAGTTTTCACTCGATTTGCAATTGTAAGATGGTTCAGCATAGTTAAGTAGGTAAAAAAGGAAGGCTACGGTAGCAGGCTGCTCGACGGACTCCAATGGAATGCTTGCGGCGAAAAGTTGATATATATGTCGAGGATAAGGAACAGTGAAACCCGCCGAGAACCAACAGCGATGAATACAAGTAAATTATTGGTAGCTAATATTTCACCTGGGCATACCGGGCCTCATCAGAGCAAATGAGATGAAGCGAAATATATTTTACAATTAATTTACCTATTTTTATTGCATTTTGTTCTCGAGACAACAAATATATTATGTGTTAAAAGGAAGAGAAAAAAATGTAAAGAACGAATTGCTATACGTACTTGTCACAAACACAGGAGGTTTGAGACCTTTCTTATTTTTCCATGTACGCTCAAAGGAAACTTGGGTCAGCAAGTACTTAAATATATCGCTGCCACCAACACAATACGTTCATGAGAATGTTTTCGGGGAAAAGTTATTCCTGGTTGGCGCGGGCATGAGTTTCAAAGACGGAAGACCTTAATTAGCCAAAGTGCTGTTTCAGTGTGATTGAAACGTAACGTCATTATCAAAGTTGTTTCCAAGCTTTTCATTCTCACAAGTGGACCCAGAGGGTGGTGATTTTAAATTGGATATAGCTGTGCACATCATGGTTCAAAACGAGTCCGCCAAATTAAGCAGACGCGTTTGGACATAAATCAATCAATGTATGCACACAGGTGCATTTAGACATGGAAAAGCGAGGCTGCAAGCTAGAAAGAGGTTGACCTGTCAAATGTTTCCATTATCGCAGGTGGTTTTAGTTAAAAGATTTCTAGGATAAAACAAAAGTTAAAAATTAATCCTAATTGAATGTTCAGGATTTGAAGATATGAATTTTGAGCGCATATCTTAAGAAATTTAAGGTGTAATGAAATGATGTCGCGTTGGAAAGCTAATTGGAATACTGGTTAGTTTATAAAGCTCTTTGCCTTGTACACAAATACTTGCATTGGCGTTCTAAAGATAGGAACGATTTGTTAATGTCCAACAGAGATCTAAAATTGCCAAGTTTAATGGAAGCCACAAACAGGTTATGGGCAAATCTGTCTTTAAGCATTTAGATTTGTTATTACTGGTTACAGGGAAGATCCACATATTGAATTTCGCTAATCCTATAGAACCAGAATACTTGAAAGCAAATCAAAGCAGTGTAAGATTTATGAATAGATAGGGAATCATAGCTTTTCGAAGGGAAAAGTTACTGTACAATCCACCAAACCTTGGACTAAGAGTATTTTGGTTTTTCGTTGTTACCCTGGATATAGTACACATCTCTGATGACATGCATTTGATTTCATTCAGATATATTTCACTCAATACAGAAAGGTTAATCGGGTTAGATTGTAAAGTTTCGAATATGCAAAATAGCATGTTGAAGGTAAAGTGCTATTACCGAAAAAGAATGGGTAAAATTGTTAGAAAGATAGGCACCAATAAGAAACAGTTATCAATACAAGTTATTAGGAAAAAACCAAGGCTGGAAATTTTTCATGATCTCACAAAAAACAGAAAAATATAACAAAGATAAAGACGTACCTTTGCTAAAGAGAAAATAGAGAAAGCTTAAAAGTGATCAGAAAAGCTATTAAGATATTGATGATGTAAACTGCCCGTGAATTTTTTCTTTTAGCTTCCGATAACATGATATCAACGAAAAAATTGACAGTCCTCAGTAATCCCCTCTTCAGGTTGTATACACGACAATGTCAGAGCAGTATTTGAAAGATATTGATATGAAATGCTTAAATTATTGCATAATGTTAAGATATGACCCGGAGACGTGGGCAAGGTAACCTGTGCTATTTAAAGAAGGCACCAAATAGCATAACTCTGGGACTGAAAAATCATCAGAATTTGGGACTATTTTGCTACCTCCGCAAATAGTGTTCACTTTTATATTCACTGAAATTGTAACTCCAAACTAAAATGTTTGACAGGAGAACCTATAGTCTTGCTACTTGATATCATCAAATTCAAAACAGAAAAATTTTTATCACCATACGTTTAACAGACTGTGACTTTTCCCTACTTAAAACAAAACAGTTCAAACAACACCTTTATATGTATTGATGATTTCCGCTCGTAGCAAAAGATCAACTAAATCAACTAATTTTTTATTGAACGCCATTTTGGTATAAAAAGCAGCAGTGTTTCAAAAAAAATTAAAAGGGGCGCTTTCCGGCGTTCCAAAGGGTGCTGACCCCAAATTTTCCTTTCAATCTTACCACCCTGGGTACAGTTCTTTACGTACGGAAAATTTATAGTTTTTTGCTATTGAGTATGTACATTTATATGTATTGGATGTAACAACAAACGTGTCATATTTTGAATCAAAATTCTAATGTATCAATTGCCCCATACTTAAATGGACCAATTACTGTTATGTCAGAAGAGACAACGCAATTTATGACCATTTAAGAAACAAGTTTAAATTCAAGGCAGTGAGAATCAGAAGCAACATTCAGCATCCATAACAAACATCACTTTCACGGAATCTTTTTGAGAGTTAAAATGTGGTTTTTATTTTCATTTTCTGTTGAGTAATTGCCCATTCAAACTGTTTATTTGTGGAGAAATTATCAACTTTTTGATTGAATGGCTCTTTTTCTGAGAATTTTAGACAGCAGGTAAAAACCTAGTTCTCCGATAAAAAAGAATAGTAAATAGTTTAATGCATTTTTATCAAACACAATGAATCGTTAGGAAAAAAATCTTACTTTTAG